TTCAGTGAACATGATTACTAAACAAGAATAAATGTGCAACTAGTAACAAGGATCATATGAGAAGCATCTTCTCACTTTGCTTAGTAGTCAACATCATCATCTCTCAACTAAAAGTGATACATTAGTTGAGTTTGACAAGATAGAAAGTTGAAAATTTCTAGAAATTCTCAACTAAATCATACGAAGCAGATAAGCTTTGACAGTGAACTACATGGAAAGGTGAATAAACTCCACGTGTACGGTGATGACATGATTGTTTTATCCTTTTGGTGGTTAGATAGGATGGCTACTAGAGGAATACACGTTTCATTTGTGTTTCGCCAGTTCGATATACCACCATCTCATTGTGTTATTGTTGCTATGATAACGTCTAATCAACATCCAGTATCTCAAACAGCATACAGATGGGCTGACAGGTATCTTCTATGCATTGGGTGTCAGTTGTCATGCTATCTCCCAGTCCCTCAGTTATCCCATTGAATCTGAATGAATCACTTGCTACTTGATAACTGTTTACCACAAATGGATTATCTAGTAGGAAAACCAATATTGAAATGCGTTGTTATTCACAGACGAGCATGTAAATCAATCTATTGGTTATATTAAGACACTCTGTTAGTAGATGAACTCCCATGTGGATGTCTACTTGATGGTCATTTTGTCCTATTTACAGCTTGTCAGTCAGATGTGCCTGCACTCCAGTGAATGATGCACTGGCTAGTGGGTTCAAGTTTCACTAGGAACAATGTCATTCACAGGGATACAGGTGTATCTAGTTGACAAGTCCCAAAATAGGACGAAACCTTTATCGTGTATTCCACTGCTAACCGGTAAGTAGACTAGATTACCAAGACATTCATTCACATAGTCGGTGCGCCATTACAGTCCAGTAATTTCATTTGACATGACAAACAACAAAAAATTACAAAGTATAAGTGAATCCACTGTTGATAGTTGGGTGTACGTGATAACCTTTGATCTGTATGCAGGTTTCAAACCTCATGTTACTTACATAATTTGTTGATCTAAATCGTATTGGCTTGAAGTAGCGCTTAAAAGATCATCACCAAATGTGTAGATATTAACTATTTCGTATATTTCAAGCTTGAATGATTAGTAGTTTAGTTCTATGATAATATATAAATTCTTAAGCCAGAGACCTCAGATTAGTTCTTTGAATCCATTGGTGGTCAACGAAAGAGAGGTATACTTCTCAAAGGCATGAAAGTTTTGGCTGTACTGTGTATACATACAGCATACATGATGGTGGTAGTAGGTGGAAGTGGATGGCTCTTAAAATGCTCAGCTCTGCCCCAAATAAATGATTGAGATATATAGATGACAGGTTAAGAATGCTTAAATCGATGTGTGAGATATGTACTTGTGCACGTGAATTTATTGATGGACGTACAGCCACACACTTATGACTTTGAATCAGCCGACCGCAGTTCAAATTTTCATTTCACTTTCAATCATCACCCGGTATAAATACTAGTCCACCCAACCACGGCTATCTGAGATGGTCAAAATGATGAATCACGTCAATTCCACAATCATATCAGTAATCCTAAGTTGTTAACCCAAGACAAGGGAAAATGTTGACTTAAATACCAACTACTAATGAGTAGTATAAAAAAATGCATGAAGTTTATGCATCGTGGAATGGATTACAGAGGATTATGCTGCTAAATAAAACGAAATACAAGGTGTATGATAACCCTGGTGAAAAAAATCTAAACGAAACGTGAGGAAATAGAGTTACTCAAATCAAGAACCCCTCAACATCACTCTATAACCAACACTTTCGTCTGTTTCCATTCGTAGTGATACCGGGAATGCTGTACCAACACTTTTCTCCGTACCCAGGTTCAGTAATAAAGGTTTAGTTCCCCTTCATGCAAACACGTATTCCGATAACAGTGTAATGAATTCAGTTCTAGCTTTTCCTCAAATACACCTGATTGATTCGCGAAGTTGTCACTGTCTTCTGTCATATTTATTTACAAGCTTAGCATTAAAATGTGAGTGGTGAGGCACATTTCCCATCCTACTTCCTCCTATATGCAACTTGTCGACAGTCATTAGTGGCTCTCTATGGCATTCCTCACCAATCTTGACCACTTATTATTAGGTGAGGAGGACTGCTTTAACCACTTAAACGGTCTCCATTCCTTCAAATTTCCCCTCGGGTTAGTTCTTCAAATGATGGATATCAAGTAAACATGAATGACATCAAGAATCCGGCGACTATCATTTGTCTGTTTTATATGATCATCGTTTGTTTCCTCATCACACTGTTATACATTTTCAGATTGGCTGCAATCATGTATGTACACATACTGTATGATTTTCCGACTGACAAGAAACGATCGGACTACTTCGATGACAGACCACCTCATTTATCAAATACATGAGGGGTTTGGTCCAACCACCATTTCCTTAGTGTCCTAAACTCGATAATTTCAGGTGAAAAGAGCAACTCGGTCACAGTTATATAGTGAAAAATACGGTAATAACCCAGTTCTTAACGTCTTTCATACAGTGCATACTTGTTTAAGATGGATCTTAGAAGTAGAGTAACTAGACAATTTAATAATCGGACGTATTCCACTTTCTTTTTATTCGTCCTGACAGTAGGCTTCCTCATTTAGCTTGTTCAACTCATCAGACAGCCTTTATAGAATGAGATTCAAATATTAAGTGGTCATGGAGACAGACAGAATGACTTCAATGGCACAAAATATCATCAGTCATCGATAAATCTCCGGTATCTAATTCTCTAGTACTCCTTCATGAATTCACGAGTTATTATGAGTTGAATAGTCAAACTGAGGGACAAACAAAACATGGAACTTGTCATTACATATGCGTACAGGTTACCACATCTTACATCGGGAGAGCAACAGATGAGACAGTAGAGGTAAGGTATTGAAAATAACAATATTAGAAGTTGGTGAGGTCTGTAAAACGGAAGGAAAACTAAGTGAACAGGGCTAATATATATCATGAAATGTTGTTCAGTGATGTCATATGTGTAGATTTTGATCACTAGCATCTTTTCTATCTCTTATCATGTAAACTCTTTAACCACCAATCTAAGCTGCTTGACAGAACATTAACGACAAAGCATACACTCTCGAAGATCAAACTACTCTGCAATTTGGTTCCATCACTTAATCTGCCGATTTCGGGTATTTTCATCTTATTCTCATTGCATATAACACAGTGCACTACGGTGAATGGCAGATCATTATGAATAGCTCATGTTAACCTTTGAGCATACTGATGTAATTTCTCCTTCAATACAGTGCTAATGCTCTATCTCAATTCCCTCTAAACTATGAGTTTATCACTGCTCATAAATCTGACCACATTTCTCCGCGGTACATTTCAAGAACATTGCCTTCGTAGACGTGGAGGTGAAACAATGTTGTTTCATAAGTGGGCATCTGGCCTCACGGGTGATTAACTGTCAGTGGAACTTCGAGATATCGAGATCGAAGCAAATAAATCGACATAGGTAGGAACTAAAGGATGACTAAGTTTATACCAAGTCACCGGATGCTAATAATCTAATAATCTTGTGCCTAATTCCACATCGAATCATGAATACACACTTCTGAGGAGTCCCAAACTAGGAGGAAACAGCCGTTCAGTGTTCAAATGTTCTCCAACTGATATCGACTGATGGTGGAAATCACTTCCTTAGATAACAACCACTTGTACAGACTCCATTGGCAAGCCTTTTAAGCAACCTTCACATTAAATTCCAGTACATAATCTTCTAGTGAATAAGATTGTTGTGGAAGCTTCAGTAATTCAAGAACCCGATGTACTTTATGATATCGCAGCAAGTTCTATGGACGGATGAAGTTGGCTAAAAAATAGCGGTTGTCTTAATTTCTATTATATAATAGAAGTCATAATATATTTAATTATGGTGACCGTAAGTAAAATGAACAAAGTAGAGATAAAAATGGAAAATACGATATGATAGAATGCTTCACCTTTTACAAAAAGCATTCGCCTCAAAAAGTGGACAAGTTTAAGAAAAATGGTTAAACTTAAGTCAACTACTTATGAGTAGCATAGAAATGAGACAAAAATAATAGGACATCGTGTGTGTCTAAGAGTCTGTATAAATTTCCTAGTAAATAGCATGAAATATTAGTGTTGAATAGATGCACTTACTAAAATACCTAGCGGGATTGAGGTGCTAAAAATAATTAACTACGTTCTTATCATACAATACAATCTGGTGCAAACTGTCATAAGAAATTAGCTACACTTTGTTATCTCAACTATCTGAGATAACCGTGGTTTTGTTGAATTTCCAGTAAATCCTTGACACAACAATATGAGACAACTTCAGTAAACCAGCAAGGCATTTTGTACGAGGATAATATTCCTCGAGTGTCCTGAATTACTGAAAGATTGGTGATATAGATATTTTTTTGGGGGGAAGTGATCGAACCAAACAATGTGGTCCATTAGATTCTGACCCACTGGTTTAATGGATAACATGCTGATCACGAGACCTAAAAATACTTGGTTAGATCCTTGGTTGAGTCATGAGTATACACTGCTAGGGAGTCCTATGCCAAGAGGGAAAAGCTCTCTAGTGCTCTCAGGTTTCCAATGGTTCTCCAACTGATACCAGTCCATGATGAATAGCGACATGAGATTGATAACATGTTGAGATTGAGGAAGAGATGGATGAGAACTGAAAGTGAGGTCGGAAATAGAACCACTTACCATAACACAGAGATAACTTCTTTCCGTGTCTATCATTTGTGACTATCCATGTAACCGGTAAAGTGACAATAGACCGCGATGTAAAATTAGGTCAACTCACAGACTCATGCAGTTAGAAATTCATTGAATGAAGATGCAGGAACCAGTTGGTCAACACACTAGATAACTTGTCACTTGAATAATTAATAATAATAATAATAATAATAATAACATTTCTCAAGTATTCATTAATTGTACAACAGTGTTTAATTCACTTTGATTTGATAAAACTTCATTAATACATCCCAAGCATGAAATCCTAAATGATTAGAACGAGATACTGAAGAATATTTTGTGTGCAGTTCATCATTCAATGAGGGTTCATTCAAGTCTAAAGACTCAAATCCATCCTCTGAATAATTTCTTGATTTCAAGTCTAAACAGTTTAGAATAGGATGAAGTAGGAAAATGCTTCGTTTATTAACTAAACCGAGAGGTGAATTTTCATCAATCATTGATGAAGCCTTCTTTATGAGACCATGTTCAATGAGATCACGTAGAGCAGGGCAGAAATATCGGCGTACAACATGTACAACAGTCCGTTCAGCTTCAGTATGCAGGAACTTCAACAGAAGTGTCAGTGTATATGTGAGAGGAAGTGGACAAAAGGAATTCCTGGTTAGTATTACACATGCAAGTTAAATTTAGAACAGTTAGAAAGAGAAAATTCTCATACGGTATCCTGTCATCATTTGTGATAACATATTACTTTCTATTTACACGTGGACAAGGCATATGGTGTACTAGGAAATTTTATGTAGGATTCTTACCAATGATGGGATAAGAGCAGCATTTAAACGCACAAACTCACTCGGAAGCCACAGATTGCTAACTTTTCACAGATGGTCTTCAATTATTCTAATAAGCAGAAAGCAAGTTTTCGGAATGGTGAGTTTACCATAGACAATATCGATTTCATCAGGATATTAGGTTTGTCTAACTTTCACAAGCCATATCAATATGTCAAATGAGGTCCTTGTGGCTCGAGTTCATTATACACCGAGTTATCAGTCAATTTCCTTTTCAGAAGGACACACAAATTCCTTGTAATCGACCTTTATGTAGTTTAAGTCATAGCTTTATTGGAATTGTTATTACTATTTACCCTTTGGGTTCCTAATGAAACATAGGGCTTCAGTGGCACATCTCCATTTCACTCTGTTCTCTGCAGTCTATTCAACCTGGCCGCATGACTGCATAGAAGCCTTCATTTCTTCCTCATACCATCTCCTCCATTTTACCCTCAGCTGGGATGCCCAACTCGTCGTTTTCAAACACCGACTGCTTTGAAGGCTTTCAACTTGATTTTGAAGGTTCCTTGCACTAGATACTGAGTGGTCTGAATCGACATCTGCTCTCCTTCTTCACCTTGTGTCAAGTAGGCTGCATCTCCACTTTCTTCACATTGAGATGAAGTCGATATTATGTTTAGTGTACTGTGTCCATCTGGTGAAATTAAATCCATGTCGCTGCCTTGTGAATATCCCGTGTTTGTACACAGTGCCTCTAATCACCAAGTCGTTGAATGCACAGAAGTCTGCAAACAGTTCACCATCCTGATATATCATTTCACCGAGATCCTTTCGACCCATGATCAGTTCTCTTCCTGTGTTGTCTGCTCCCAGTTTCGCATTCATGTCAAACCACCCATTAGAATTTTGATGTTGCCAAAGGGAGTCTTGTATAGTACTGATTGCAGTTATCTGTAGAATTTTTCCTTCTATTCTTGATCTGAATTATTTGTAGATGCGTGGCGTAGGAATGTGTGATTGTCAGTTTTCTTCCTTTCGAGTTGAATCCATCTTGCTGTCATGATCCTTATCCTGGTTCCCACTGCATGAGACAGAACCTTCGATGCTGTTGTGCACATCATGATAGCCACTTTAAAACTCAGTGTGCTTGTGGTTGTCATCTGGATGACAATATCGGAGTAGATTATTGACTCCTCTCCAGTTGACAGTTTGGACAGTCCACTTCCATTCCATCTACTTTCGTAGATTCCTAGCACTTCACTAGCATATCTTCTCATCTCTTTTGCAATTTGGACAGCCTTGTCAGTCAGCTTCAAACATTGTGCAGACATTTCATGTCCTCATGTTTACTTTTGCTGTCATCGAGAAAGAGAGCGAGAGAGAGATGGGACGCTCCGGCCAATTAACTCCTCGGAGGCTTTCACTAACCGACGTCATTTCGTCTCCTGATTCCAGGGATGAGTAAGTTTATTTTTATTTTCTATATTTTGTCTGTGCTTTAAAGTTTCTTTAGCGATTGGATTGGCTTTATGGGTTAAGGTTGCTAGCCCTGTGCCCAACCTTCCCTCTTTGTCCGGGATTAGGACCCGCTGGTCACTAGTGAACTATTTAAGTAGGCGAGGTTCTTTGTTGGAATTGTCAGTTACAAATCTTGTTAAATCATGTCAAATTGATTTTATTTCAAGTACATATTCATACTTTTCAACAATGACTACACCTGAACTCTTATCTGCTCAAAGTATTCCAACTGTCTCATTATTCAATAGATTTCTCAATGTTGTTTTGTGGTCATCAGATAAAATGTTGGACTCTGGAAATGGTGGTATGATATATTGGTTGGCAATATCAACCAGTTCTTATTGAAACCAATCTTCTTTTTCATCATTCATAGATTTAAATTCTGTTAGTTGATGATATAAGTTCTGTAATTCTGTTTCTGCATCCATTTTGTCATTCTTACTAGGAATATGGAATTTGAAACTAAGTGGAAGTACTTCTGCTTCCATTGGATGTATACTTGATGTGGATTTGTGAGAAGGCCATCACATCGCTGATCTTTCAAAATAGATTTAAAAAATGTTTTCATAAAGGCCTTACAGCTTTTCGACTGGACATTCTGAATAAAGTTGGTGGGATTGATTCGGCATAGAACGCTGAGTTTTCTGACAACATTTTCAAATGTACCAACTTTCGTTCTCAACTTTGAAATGATTTCTTTGGTACACTCGACTTGATAATTTGTGACAGGTAGGAGATTCTTTGGTGAGGGTGGCAGTTTGCGTAAGCCCAGAGATGAAGAAAACTGATGAAGGAAGGCATCATACATTAAAGCAGTCACTATAGAATTTCAGTCTTGTTTCTTCTCCAGATATTCTCCAGATATTCGAAGAATCACCAATTGATTCAGTGACTTGTTAAAGTGGACAGGGATGCGTTTCTTTACAGATTTCATTCGACTCCTTCCACTCACAAATTTAAATAGAGCAAAACAACAGCTTAAGCCGAATAACATGCACTCCTTGCATTTCGTAGTTCCTCACCAGCTGTTTACAACTTAAAGCATTCGTACCGTCACCACAGGAATAGGATATGGGCACTGTGGTAGATTGCAATTCCATTTTAGTCCGTTAAGTAGATATGTCACACAGTGAAGAAACAGCATCATTTACTGGATATTGTTTCGGAAACAATTCATTGTCAATATTCATATCAACAGGTAACTCCACAACTTCGAGACAGAATTTATATATTCCTAATTTTCTCTCCTTCTCTGTGATGACAGAGGTAGTAGAACTTTCCATATATCTGAGACAGGTGCATAATCATTCTTGTTACTTACTGCATGTATTTGATGTTGATTTGATGAACAATAATGATGTGGTTGTCAGTCTCTCCCTCCATCCGACTAAGTTAGTTTTCAACACTGTCGCTCTATCCCACCCTACTATGTGATTGTGTGTATTTGTGTGCTGAGCTCTAATGACTAACAGCACAGATTAGACGACATACACTTAGATGAGATAACTAGTCTTTACACAGATATTACGATTGACGTGGCTCTAGAGGCAGTTAGAAATAGACTTTAGGATGACAATAACCTAAAGCATCAATCTAAGGTGCCGATCGAGGAAATCATACTAGCAGTACGATTGTGTCTAACATCTACAGTTTTTAGGTTTCAAAATAAAGTGTGTAAACAAACTGAAGGTGTTGTCACGACATCACCAGTATCTCCTATCATCGCAGACATGCTGATGAATAATTGGGAACAGATTGCCCTTCAAATATTTAGTCCTACTCCAAAAATGATGTGGCTCGGATATGCAGATGGTACGTTTACAGTACTGAGGTCGGAACACATCAATAGGTTCTCAGCACACATATAAGTTCAGTAGTGAATGCAATCCAATCTACTTGTGACTTAGAAAGTGATGAAGGTGAGCTAACAATGTTGGATTGCAAGATTATACGAACAGGAGAGGGAAGTTTAGAGACTAGTGTCTATAGGAATCCTTCCGTTTGAAACGCTACTGAGACTTCAAATACTCCCAGCTGATTTCAATTAAAGTAGGCTTAGTTAAATACCTAAGTGATAGGTCAGAAAAGTTCACCAGTAGACCAGAAATTCTATCACAAGAAAGTAGACGAATCAAGAACACCTTGCATCTCAATAATTACCCAGCTAAATTTATAAATAATTTCATAAGAAATCGAAACATATTAGTATTGGTAGTAGCAGTAGTAATACAGATGTTATGAATAGTAATTCTACTACTAATAGTGATAATGGTGACAGAGTTGAGAGAGAATTCAATGTCTCTAATGTGTTACGATACAAGGAGGGCACAAAAGAAGCACTACGAAGAATTCTCAATAAGGCTGGGATTGTAGTGGCACCTAAACCAACAGACTTGCTTAGAAGTAAGATGTGTAGGTTAAAAGATTCTATCGATGCAATTAGACAAAATAATCTGGTTTACTAATGATTACAAGGTCAGATAGATAGGTCAGAGAAGTTGCCCAGGATCAATTAGAATAACAGAACACAGAAATGTAGCTAAATCGAGATTAGTAGATCCTAATAAGATAAGAAATTTAGATTACAGCTGGGTTATAGCACTGCATGCAATTACACACAATCACACAGTAGGGTGGGATAGAGCGACAGTGTTGAAAACTAACTTAATCGGATGGAGGGAGAGATTGATAACCACATCATTATTGTTCATCAAATCAACATCAAATACATGCAGTAAGTAACAAGAATGATTATGCACCTGTCTCAGATATATGGAAAGTTCTACTACCTCTGTCATCACAGAGAAGGAGAGAAAATTAGGAATATATAAATTCTGTCTCGAAGTTGTGGAGTTACCTGTTGATATGAATATTGACAATGAATTGTTTCCGAAACAATATCCAGTAAATGATGCTGTTTCTTCACTGTGTGACATATCTATTAAACAGACTAAAATGGAATAATCGGATGAGTTTGATAGAAATAAAGTTTTCATCGATATGATGTGATTGAAACATGAATTGAGTGGATGGGAACAAATTTTGTCAATGAATAACAGGATTAGGTATCCGTGGTTACAGATATCTATAAAAATTCATCATTTATCATGAATCCCATACTTCCATTTCCATCCCGTTCTGTATTCGACACATTTAGTCAGTTTGGATCAGATAGAAATTGAACG